GGAGGTGCTGCAGGAGGCAGTGTAACCTGGGAATTGGAAAATAGGATGCGGGAAGCATATCCGGAATTGTTTCCATCAGGTAATTTTCGAGGACGAAAATAATTAAAGTGGGGGAGACTTGTAACATCCATTTTAATTATTTAGTCTTTTGGTGTTATTTTATTTCGGTGTGTCTTTATGTGGGGATGTGTCTAAGTGCGTTGGCGAGTGCCCTTAATTAGAGAGATCATTTAATAAACTATAGAATTTAATATTAATATAATATAATTAATAATGATAATAATTTAATAATTAATAGTAATATTGTTATTCTATTGTTATAATTATTATTATTGGTATTATTATTAGATTAAGTAAAGAAAATATAATGGAAAGAATAGAATAAAAGTTATATAAGAGAAAGTGGAAATAGAGAGGAAATAGAAAGGAAGAGAGAAAGATTAAGGAGGAAGAACAAGGAGAAAGAGAGAGACAAGGCTATGGCTGTCAATTCTTCAGGATTCTTCATCAATCTGATCAATTAATCGAGGTAAGAGTGTGAAACATTGTGATTCTATCCATGCATATGATTATGTAGGGATTATTTGGATTGTTTGAGTGTTTTTGTGTAGTTTTCCATTCTAGGTCAGAAATGGTTTAATCCGTAGAATTGATGTTTTAACGGTTAGCGTATGGAACAAGTCGTGTAGTTTAGTCGAGGAATGTTAGGCTAAGACTACAAGAACTGGTTTGGTGAAAATCGGGTGATTTGTGAGCTTCTGATGATTTTTAGACAGTTGGGGTTTTGGTGTATCGCAGAACTCGCTAGGCGAGCAGCTAGAGAGTGAGGTGGCGAGGGTTCGCTAAGTCTTCGCTAAGCAAGCTGGGTAGCGAACACTTCCAGTAGCCACTGTCTGCCTTCGCTAGCGAGTTCGCTAGGCGAGTGAGGCAGCGAGCGTTCGCTTAGGCTTCGCTAGGCGAGTGAGCCAGCGAGCATGACAACAACTTGTTTTATTTTGTTGTTTCCATCCAATGTTGATATTTTCGATATATAACGTATAACTTGTATGTTGTATTATGATATGTTGTGGGTAGCCGTATGGCGTGAATCCTAGATTGTGAACTGTGAAGGGTGAATTGCAGCCTTTTGGAAAATTGATCCCTTTGGTCATGATGGGTATAGAGATGGTGTTTAATGGTGAAGAGTGTATACTTGGTGTTAAAATGTGAATTTCCCCTAATATTTAATTTAATTAACATAATTAATTAGTGTGTAATATTTATATGATGCATGGTGATGTGATCAGGAGGATCGTGTGCACCTAGTGTGCTTGAGTTTATTTTGTTGTGCATTTGGTGTCGTGCATATCATGGTATTTTGGTGGGATGAATCGTTGCTCAGAAGGAGTGTATGTGATTCATCCGTACTCCCTTGTGGAGAATGGTGGGATGAATCATTGCTCAGGAGGAGTGTATGTGATTCATCCGTACTCCCTTGTGGAGAATGGTGGGATGAATCGTTTCTCAGGAGGAGTGTATGTGATTCATCTGTACTCCCTTGTGGAGAATGGTGGGGATAGATCATTGCCAGGGAGGGGTGTATGTGATCTATCCGGGGTTCGATTGACTGAACCAATGAGTCGGTACCGCATGCATGGTGTTGAGTTGCATGTTTGCATTATTGCATGTTGTGTTTGATTTTTGGACAGTAGGCCGTGGTTGTTGCATGTTAGGTGATATTTTATATAATTACTACTTTTGATCATGTATCTTATTACTGATAATTTTTATCATGTTTTCTCACCCCTTTGTTGTTGTGGTGGTCTGTACTTCTTCGGAAGTACAGATAATCCAGGTACATAGCTAGCTTGGATAGTGGTGTGCAGGTCGAGTCTTAGGATGCTCTGATACGTAGCACGGGACTTGGGTGTTTACTTTTATTATTTTGAATTTGTTTTATTCCTGTGACGTATCATACTTTGGTGAACCTTGTTAACGAATGAATTTATGTAATTTGGCGGATGGCCGAGAATGTTGAATTAATGATTACTTCCGCTGTTTTATTTTGAAAACCATCTAATGACGGGTTATGTTGAATTAATTGATGTGATATCCCGCTTTTGAGAAAAACTCTGATGTTTACTTGAAATAACCGTACTTTATTTTAATTCTGGGAAGTGGGGTGTTACAAATAGTACTATTCGTACGGATGAATAGTTACATTCGTGCGGTGAATAGTGTTGTCCGTACGGTGAATAGTGTTTTTGAGTTTTCAGACTTTTTCGATTCGGTCCATGGATCCATGTGATTTTCGGCTTTGTTTGTTGAGTATTTGCTATTATAAATATGTATCTCTTATATGTTTGGTGTGCGACAATCTTAGAGTTTTCACCAACAAGGGAGACCAAGGATTTAAAGGTATATTATAAGGTTTCAGCTATGCACAAAGAAAACCTTGGATTGCACCTTGGGTTTGAGTTATTCATATATCAAGAGTTGGAGAGGTAGGGAAACACTTGGGTAAAAAATAGGGTTGTTCTTGGGCGCTTTCAGGGTTGTTCTTGGAAACCTGAAGGCGAAGGCTATTTTCTTGTAACTCATCTGTAATCTCTTGTAACAACTTTCTGAGTATAGTGAATTGGAGAGCTGCCCTCTCCCCCAGAGTAGATCGTTTGATCGAACTTGGTAAACAAACCTTCAGTAATTTTTTTGTCTTATTCTACTATATTATCTGTATACGAATTATTATTGCTGAAGACCATTTATTTTGATTGCTATTGTTCTTTGCCTCACAAATTGATATTGAATTTTATTGTAATTCACAACAAGTGGTGCAGTGAGTATGAAGCAAAGAGATATTGTTGATAACTGAGCACCATGGTTATTAGATAGCAGATCGAGAAATTTTCCGGTAACAACGACTTTAGGTTGTGAAAAATTAAGATGCAAGCAATTTTAATTCAAGAGAAGAGTATTGATATTTTAAAGAGTGAAATATTGATGCCTGCAGGGCTTACACAGATACTATATAGTGCATTAAGATACTGCACTTTAAATATAAATTGTTTTATCCCAAAACTTTGTGATTAATAATTTGTTTGTGCAATTTATCCAATCCTCTCTTTCATTACATAAACTAAAAATTATTTTAACTTCAAAAACAACCTCTCAAATGAGCTTATTCTATAATGTCAAGTTATAAAATTCATAGGCTGTGAAGAAGGAAATCTTTAGCATGATGATGTTTTTCCGAAGAAATTAAACTGTATTGTAAAAGAGGGAATTCACATGAGCAATTCATCATTTTGGATGAAGAATTTGTCCCTAAAAACAAAAAAGTAGCTTGCTAAATTGAGGAGTATTATGGGCCAGAGTTTGAGCACTAAATGCACTGGAACTAGAATACATAAGTTCTATTATTCTCCTATGTATACAAATTTCATTTCATACAGTTCCAATGGTTGCTCTTTTTAGTACAAAATTAATGTCCCGGTCCCTCTCTAACTATACAGACACATGCACTGAATATGCCTTCAGTTTAGGATCAAGAATTTCATTGCTAATACATGAAGGAAAAGAATTTACTCAGCAACAAGGTTTTAAATTATGGCTGCGGCCGTGGATGCGGGTGTGGCTGTGGATGGATGTGCATTGTGTCATTGTAGCGTGAATCTTAATTGAAAGATGTTTGAAATATATCAGTTAAAAATATTTGATGGTAAGAATTGTTCCAAAATTTTAAATTTTAATGAAAATACTTAAAGAAAAATGAACAAAATTGTTTGATGTGGTTTTTAATGATGGTTAGACAAATGGTTTTAATTCAGACTATAAATACGATTGCGGAGGCTACCGCATTAGAAATATTGCGACTATAATTGCAGTAGTAAATTGCAATTTATGGTCTATTTGGTTGGAGGTAAATGGAGGGGAAGGGAGAGGAGGGGAGAAAATATTTAATAACTTATGTGTTTGGTTCAAATTTTAAGAAGGAGAAGGGAGGTAGATGGAGGGGACCAAAATCCCTCATAAACCACTTTTTGTTTTCTCCGGATTTGGTGGGATTTGGAGGGGAGGTTCTTGATTTTAATTATAATTATATTTACATATTTATCCTTATTATTTATTTAAATATAAATTTAACTTATAATAATCTTAAAAGTTTTATTTTGAACAAATTTAATCGTTCTTTTTATATTTTTTGTATTTTTATATCTTCATCTTACTATCATTATATTTTTTTAAATTTTTATTTTATTTTTTATATTTTAATGTTAATTTTAGTTATCGTAATGTTTTTGTTTATAATAATAGGGAGACCAAAATTGTGATTTAGCCAATTATATATTATAATCGTTGCATTTTTATAAAATATTTTATAATGATCTCTGATTAAATATTTATATTTCGTCAATAAATTTGTATTTGAATTATAAACGGTAAATATCACAAGTCTTATAGTAAAATTAGAAGGATAAAAAAGTAAATTAGTTTTAAAATACCTCCTCTCCTCTTGTGAGTCAAACATATTTGTAAATAAAATGTCTCCCCTCCTCTCCCCTTTCATATTTTGAACCAAACATATATGTAATTAAAATTCCTCCCCTCCCTTCCCCTCCCCTTGATAAAAATTTCTCCCCTCCCCTCCCTCGATTGAGCCAAACAGACCCTTAAATCATACTCAATATTAAGGTATCTCTTTTTAATTACCAAAGATTCTGAATCGAACTTGATCCCGAGCATGTATAAGTGTTAAAATTTTTAGAGAGATAATTTTATTGTCTATTATAGTCCTTATCGAATGGAGAAATTACTCTTTGCATTTAAAAAAAAAAAAAAAAAACTCAATTTCTACTTACAAAAATCTTTGTTAATTTTCAACAAATTCTGTTTGGCACAAAGGCTAAACGGAAGAATTTACAATATGGAATCAATAAATAAAGGACTAAAATAGAAATTTTGGGACAATTCCACCAATGATGCAATTTGAAAGAAATAAAACATACAAAAAATCAAACTACCTATGATGAATCTCTCCTTGATGCTAATGGAACAACCTCAGCCAAAGGTGTTGAAAGAGGTGTTGGAATTGGTGAAGTTCTACAAAGAGGACAAGTAGGATGCAACCTTAACCAAGGCTCTATACACTTGAGATGAAACAAATGTTCACAATCTGGCAAAACCTTAAGCATGTCACTTCCTTTGTAATCACCCAAACAAATAGAACAACATGTTGATGTTGAATCGTTTTTTCTAAGCTTCACTTCAGAATATAACATCTTTGGGTAACTCATGATTGTTTCTTCATCTAATCCCAAGTCAACTATTGAATGTTGTGGCTCTAGGAATTCAGAGGTGTTATTGTTGTTGTTTCTTCTTCTAGGAGCATTTGGAACTTGTGATCTTGTACAAAAGTATGAAGTGAGTGTGATTGTTGTAATGAGTAAGAGAATCCCAATGGAAATTCCTATGCCATAACCAAATCCACTTATGTCGTTTGAGCCAAAGAATCCAGATGAATCGGTTGAGTTGTTCATGTTCTTGATGATGAAAACAATAGCAAGTTGTTAATGATGGATTTTTTGGATTACATTAATTAAAGTCAATGGTGTATGATGATGATTCATATGAGAAAGAGAAAGAGAGAGAAATTAGAGGCATTGCATGTGAATACATTCCACTTTCTCAAAACGTTAGATTGTGTGTTTACATGTCTTACAAGTTTGTGAATGTCAACGATACTTTTTATATTGGTGAAAAATGTATCTTGTGATTTGTGTATTGAATGTTGATTGATTTGAGTTCACATAAAAGTGAATAAAGAAATGTTGTTTGCCAATGGGTGAAGAGGGGAGAATGGGCACGTTCCATGCATTACTAGAAAAGTTGTTGATCAAATTTAATTCCATTAGTTTTCGTCTTGCCAAGTGTACACATTGTGCAGCCAGATAGATTTCAAATAATTCATTAAAATTATTGTCCTTCATTTATTTTGGTTAAAGCCGTCACTAGACTCATTACAATAGAAAAACATTAAATTTAATCAAAAATCAAATGTGTTCATGAGAAATATATAAGGTTGAAGAGATAAAGTCTTCATGTGCGATCGTGACAGAGCTTCTTATGCAGCGGAGTAGGAAAATTTTGAAAGTTTAACGGTCCAACACTTATGTGAGTGAAATCAACGAGATATAGTTTGAGAAAGGAAATGAGATAATAATTGAAATGGCACTATGTTGAATTTATATATGACAGATTTTTTGAAATTTATTTATGTCTAACCTGACATGAGATGGAGAGTCTCCTGATCAGATCTGACGAGGATGATGCACTAATAACTAAGATCAAGTGTTCGATTTTTTGGGAGATCCTATATGTTTCTTTGTCCACTAAATCGATAATATAAATTAGATCTTATAACTGGGTATTATTATCCTATGGATGACCCGAAATAGTTGTTCCCCAAGTCCTTGCTGATATTTTGTGAAGTGAGGATTGACACTATCAAGATGCCCTCTGAAGAAGGATGGTCGTCTCGTGGAAGAGAAAGAGTTTGGTGAGTTGAAGCAAGTGACCTCTGTTAGATCAAGATTTGTTCATGACATTTATCCTTTGAATTTTGATGATAACAAAGTATTGAAAGAATAATGGTGTTATCTAATGTGTGTTTCAAGTATACAAGTTCTAAAGCTTATAAAGAATGCATTCAGAATCTGATATAAGGACGCATTTGAGAGAAGCTGGGTTACTAGCTTCTAGTGGATCAGAATCTAAAGAACACTTCCTAAGTGATGTTTGGCGTAGATTCTGAAGTTGAATGCCTCAACATCAGAAGAGAAACATATTATCTCTACACTAAGTTAATGTATCAGCTTCTGGTGAACATTCAGAGTTAGTAATAAAGTTTAAGTTATTCGTACAGTAGTAATAAAGGTTAGAGTCTATGTTCACAATGTTGCACCCCAAAATTTGCCCAACCTTTCTTTACCTAGCTTATGTTTAATTGCATTCATATTAGCATTATCATTTGCATTTTATTGACATGTGTGCAGGAGATCAAGAGGTATGACTACCAACACAAAGCTACCAAGGCTATGAAGCTATCTAAGAGGGTTATTCAAGTGTTCAAGGGTTGATATCCTTAGCAGGGAAGTTAAAAGATCCTCAGAGAGAGGGTTGAAGCCAAGTGTGCATATCTTCTAACTTGAGAGTTGTGGGAAGTCATCTAATGATGTTGAAGCCATAAAGTTGGACTTGAGGTCTTGAGAGAGCTCTTGAGAAGTGTTGAAGTTCATTTTGAAGCCTAGACAGATCATTATGTGAAGGATATGAAGAACTACCCAAGATTGGTACAATTAGGATTTCATCTGGATGACCCTAGGATAACTGATGATTTGAAGAGGGTTGAGACCTAATTCAAGAGCCATGTGATCATATATTGATTTGTTGAGATGTCTAAGGGATGATTCCAAGGTCAACTTGTCATAAATCAAGAGTGTGAGAAGTTGCTAGGCTAGGGTTGCTATACTTGACAGTGTAAAATCCCCTGGTTTGGTGCCTAACTTCAAGACCACGTAACTCAAGATGTGATTTTCATCTCACCTTTATCCCAACATGATTTTTGTAGAGCATGATCTTAGCTTTAATTTGAGTACTAGAAGTCCTTGATAGGGTTTATAGAACTCAAGTTATGAGCCAGACAAGTTACAGGTCATCTGAGACATGTGAAATTGGAGCTTGAAAGTTACCCAACTTGCATGACACTTTTTCCCTAGAAGGATGATTCCTATGAACTTTTGGTTAACATGAATGTTGTTCCTTATTCTCTTAGCTTTCTAGAAATTACTAGAAGTCCATGATTGGATTTGTAGAACTCTAGTTATGGCTTTGACAAGTCAAGGGTATTTTGGGTATTTGGAATTACAGGTCATTTTTGGTTATGGGTCCATTTCATCAACTTAAGCACCTCAAATGAACTTTTGATCAACTTGAAAGTTGTTCAAAATTGTGTTTTTAGCCCAACCATGATCCAAGCATCCATTGATATGGATTGAATAAGGAAACGTATGAAGAAATTTGGAGAAAAGATCATTTAAAGGCATTAATGAAAGGAAAATTCAAAATAATTCATGTTTGTGCCAAACTTCAAAAGTTTTTGCATTTTTTGATTGGAAATGATGTTTTAAAGAGATTGGCAATTCCACATTTTTTATTTGAGTCACATTTTATGGACATTGAGTGAATTACTTCATGATGAAGAAACATAATCAATCTTGGCCATAAGATCAATTCACCCACTCAATCTGAGCCATTCATATCTAAGGAGTATTGTGCAAGCTGGTGGAGCAAAGTTTGAGAGGAAACAGAGCCATAATGCACGAGTTCCATTGTTGAATTTTGGAAGAAATGGAAATTTTGGATTTAGCAATTTGGGCCATGATTGGGCCATATTAAGATCCAAATCAATCCTATTTAAGTTGATAATCACATTCAGATTGTTTTTTGGAAGAAATTGGTTGAAGATTCAGTTGTGGCAGTTAGAGATCAAAGCTTCCAACTCCAAATCGTGTTTTTCAATTCAGAAGGTTTCAAGAGAAATTGAAGATATAGTTAGCACCAGTGTTCATCAGTGAACGTTTCTGCGCATTTTGAAGCCAAGAATCAACCTGCAATTGCTCCAATTCGAAGCTTTTTTCTAGGTTTTTATTCTTCAAAACTACTCTTGATTTAGGCATGATTAGATTGAAATTAGCATGTGGTTAAGTTTTAGATGCAACCTAGAACGATTTAGGATCATAATGGTGAGGTTTCGTGATGATTCATGGTGAGATGAGATTTCTGTTTGGATTCGAATCTAGAGAATTATTGAGTGTTAGCATGAATTGATTGGTGTTTCTTGATCTCTGAAGAGTGAGGGTCATTTTTGTATAAGCAATTTTGAGTTTTGTGACAATGATGGAAGTGAGTGATTTTCTGTTCATCTTCGATTTGGGAGATTCTTGAGGAATTAATGGAAATGGAGTGGATATTATTGATCAGTGAGAAGAGGCGAGAAGATCCACATGATTTTCTTGAAGTTTGGTGAACTTTGATGTCTGGTGATTGTTGTGCTCGCCGGAGAAGAAGGTGGCTCCCTTCTCCGGCCACCGTGGTTGTTCCCCCCCCCCTCTGTACCAGTTTCAAATGGAGAAGATGAACATGAGGCGTTGGATCTTTCTAAGCTTGTTGACTGAGTCTCAACATCTGATGGACCAGGTTTAATGGAATTAGGGTTTGATGAGGTGTTGTGACAAGGAGCGCAAGATCAACATACTTTTCTGTTGGACGGATACGATTAGGGTGTACCATAGGCTTTAATCAACTAAAGCATACTTTGCCACATACCAAAACGCAGTAGTTTTATTTAATAGGTGTCACGCGCGCGTCTGTTGGATTAGTTGACTAGTATTCACATCTAACGGCGCTGATATTTTCTGTTGCTTTTAATTCTTTAATTGATTTTTGGATTTTCTTTAATTGATTTTATCTTCTAAAATTCGTATTAATTTGATTAATGATCAGAAAAATATAAAAAAAAAAATATGTGCATGATCCTGATTTAATTTTTGATTTTCTGATGCCTTAGGATTTTATTTTGGTTTTATTTTCAATTTAATATCCATTTTCTCTTTTTTGATAAATGTTTAAAAATGCATAAGTAGCTATCTTGCTTGCTGATTTAATTCCTAATTCATGCTTTTGATTTTGATGTTGATTTTTGGCTGGCTGATTATAGACATGTTGATGATGTTATAGGATTTTTGTTGTGATTTTTAGATGATTCTAAATAGGATTTTGAGATAGTTGTTTAGGAGCCTTCCATGATGGATCCCCTTTAGCACACTCTTTGGATTTAGATTTTACTTGAACCTTTAGGATTAGGTTTGACCCCTGGTTTTTGTACCATAGATGTTTCACTCATGTAGGATAATGTAGGATTTTCCTTAGAATTTGTAGAAATGATTTTCTGTTAGTTCCCCATTTTACAAGTTGACCTTAGTTTTGGTGATCCTAATTAGGTTAACTTCATAGATTAGGCTTGTAAATGACCATTAGATGATTCTAAGTCTCATTTCCTTTCTTGATAGGTTGGTAATTGGGTAGATACCTATTTAGAGCTTTGAAGCCTTAGTTTAGGTGATCCTTAGAAGGTAACCTTTGAGGTTCTTTAGAAGTTCAAGTAGGTGGATGATTCTTCCTATAGGGGTAGTTTCCTCTTCAATTTTCCTTGCTTGATTGGAATACTCTTTGTGAGCATGTTTCCTCCTGTGGAGGAATTCATTGCATTATCATAAAGGAGTTGAGTCTATGAAAGCTCTCTCTAAGGAAGTGGAGTTGGTTGAGTGCCTGTGGTAAGTTCCTGTGGACCTTACCTTGCTTCTCATCTCCATTCTCCTAATATTCTCTTATTCAATTCTTTTTAGGAACCTTCTTGGGGTAGCATAGTCCCTCCTGTGGGGGGGAATGTTGTACATCTCCTGAAGGAGCCAAACCTCTA